GCTATTTGTTTTCGCTGGCGGATCGTGGTTTTTTTTAAGGAGTTCTAGATCCTGATTTTTTTTTTTTTTAACATTCGAGGATTCAATTAAAAAATATCGCGAATTAGAAAATTTCGTAGAATAATAAAGGCAAACTTATAAAGAATGAAATACTAAACATTTCATTCTTTATAAGTTTGCCTTTATTATTCTTCGAAATTTTCTAATTCTGTTTGAATATTTTGACCTCAGCGAAAAAGATGATTGATTATTTGAAAAGTTGGTCAGAGTTAACAGTTTGCATAATGTAAAAGAAAACTTTTTTTTACGCTCAAACACCAGAATAGAATGAATATAAGAAAATCTATCCAGAAACTGATTTGAGAATTTATACATAATTTGAACATATTTTTTTCAATTTTATTCGCAAGATATAATTTTGTGAACAATTTTATTTTTATTCTTTAGATTAATTGATAATTTTAGATATTTTTATTATTTATTTTTTAGGAGCACAAAACCAAGGAGGATTATGAAGCTGTGGCGAAGGAAATTTATTCATCAATTTTTTGTAGTTGAATAAGTTTATTTTTGTAGTTTTTTTGACAATGTTTTTTTTCATGATTTTGGTTTCATTTTGAATTTTTATCAAACATAAGTCGTGGGGTTTTTTTAGACTTAATTAAGTTATTTAGCATAACTTAAATTTTTTATAAGCATCTTCTCGTTTTTTCTTTATTTGATCACAAAAAAAAAATGGTTAAAATTGTTGAAAATGAATAAAATGGACGAGTATATAGGCCAAGGCGGAAGCAAAGGGTCCTAAAGAATTGAAACATTACATGACCAAGCTGGCCAAGGACATAAAGTAAGCTATCTAAAAGTATATAGGCCAAGGACATGAAGTAAGTTATCTAAAAGTATATAGGCCAAGGACATGAAGTAAGTTATCTAAAAGGGATTGTTAACTTACAGGGTTACCCACAAAGGATGAGACTGTTTAGACGACTTAAAACTAAAAAAATATGAGGATTTGAAGCTTGATTTTTGGTTTCTTTATTCAATTGAGGATTTTGATGGTTTACTAAAAGGTTGTAAATATGCAAGTTTTGGCCTACAAGAAACCCTGAATGCAAGAAAACTGAAAAAACAAATTCCGTACAATCGTCTATGAAGTCGCGATCATTGTAGGTTACCCTGTATTTAAAAAGATCCCTGTTTTTGCCACTGTAACAATACTAAGTCTATGTATCTTAAATAATATGATTTAAAATTATTATCTAAAAGTATATAGGCCAAGGACATGAAGTAAGTTATCAAAAAGGGATTGTTAACTTACAGGGTTACCCACAAAGGATGAGACTGTAAAGACCACTTAAAAGTTAAAACTATAAAAATATGAGGATTTGAAGCTTGATTTTTGGTTTCTGCATTCAATTGAGTATTTTGATGGTTTACCAAAAGGGCACATAAATATGCAAGTTTTGGCCTACAAAAAACCCTGAATGCAAGAGAACGGAATAAACAAATTCCGTGCAATCGTCTTTGAAGTCGCAATCATTGTAGGTTACCCTGTATTTAAAAAGATCCCTGTTTTTGCATCTGTCACAATACTAAGTCTATGTATCTTAAATAATATGATTTAAAATTCGCTTTTAGTAATGATCCAAACCTCATAGAGTAAATTAAGTAGGTCTTAGTTTCACATTTTTTGAAGATTTGGAAAAAATGTTAAAAAATCGACGAAAATAATTTTTTTTTTGAAATTGGTTTGTCAGATAAATTAAAATAAAACCAGCTCAGATCATGATATGGAAAAAAAAATTTGCAGATATGAGTGTTTTTATCAAGAAAAAGTGTTGGTATCAAGAAAAAGTGTTGTTATCAAGATAAAGTGTTGGTATCAAGAAAAAGTGTTGTTATCTAGAAAAAGTGTTGGTATCAAGAAAAAGTGTTGTTATCTAGAAAAAGTGTTGGTATCAAGAAAAAGTGTTGTTATCTAGAAAAAGTGTTGTTATCTAGAAAAAGTGTTGGTATCAAGAAAAAGTGTTGTCATCTAGAAAAAGTGTTGGTATCATGAAAAAGTGTTATTAAGAAAAAGTCTTGGTGTCTAGAAAAAGTGTTGGTAACAAGAAAAAGTGTTGTTATCAAGAAAAAGTGTGGCATGATTGTGATTATAAATTAAATTTTCCAAAATGTGACGTGAAGATTTAAAAATTAATCGAAATATTTGATTTCAATTTATAAATTAAAGTCGAAAAAGGTCGACGTTCTTCGTCAATGTATGTAGGAAATCTAAAGACTGACCAGTGACCACATTTTGAAAATCCCACGACAACCAGAATTTTCGTCTTTAATTGATTTTAGTTAAAGACTGATAACTAGGATTAGTTAATATTTTCATTGGGACATCTTATATCAGTAAAATAGTAAAATTTATGGCAATGTACGATTCACAACGGTATCCTTTAAACCTTTGTCTGATAAATAACGCGGAAGATAATTTTGTTTTTCTAGGGTTAAAAGTGTTGAATTCTGATAATTCTTTTATGTTTTCCTGGAGAAGAAATGCTCCAGTCACCTTTGTAGAGAACCCAGGATTGAAAACAATTTACTTTAAAAATGATTAACATTGATATCTAATTCATACATGATCAGACAAAGCTTTTAATGGTAACGGTGTGAATTGGGTATTGCCATTCATGCATGGGGGGAGGGTCATTTGAAATTTCACTTCTAGTTACGTTAATCTTCTTTTTCATGATCAGGAAAGCCTTGTCGCAGAAGAAGTGAACAATGAAGATCCAGCCAATCAGTTTATCACCATGTTGTTGATTTTATATGTAACCAAGACACAGCATTTAAATACTTAATTAACAGTGCTTCAGTGCTTAGGGTCCGGATCCGTTTGATCAGCAACATTTTGCATTTCTGGTTCCTGATCAGCAACATTTTGTATTTCTGGTTCCGGATCAGCAACATTTTGCATTTCTGGTTCCGGATCAGCAACATTTTGTATTTCTGGTTCCTGATCAGCAACATTTTGTACTTCTGGTTCCTGATCAGCAACATTTTGTATTTCTGGTTCCAAATCAGCATCATTTTGCATTTCTGGTTCCTGATCAGCAACATTTTGTATTACTGGTTCCTGATCAGCAACATTTTGTATTTCTGGTTCCTGATCAGCAACATTTTGTATTTCTGGTTCCGGATCAGCAACATTTTGTATTTCTGGTTCCGGATCAGCAAAACTATGCGGGCTGGATCCATTGGGCAAAATGTTGACTATAAGTCAAATCATACTAAAAATGTTTTCGTTCTCAAAACACAAATCTCATATGTTAACTTAACTGTTAACTGTTACAAAATTCCGTAAATCTCGAAGAAATGTTGATAACCTTAATCGGATCCATTTTTTTTTTCAGGGTGGATCCAGAATCCGGATCCGGTTTCGCATTAAAATGAATTTGATCCTAAGCACTTCTTTTATAAAAGGGAGTAATTTTTAGTGACAATTTTTTTATTGAAAGCCAGCAACAATTTAACATTTACCCTTCAAATCGAATAAAAGTGAAAGATAATGCCATCTTGTATTTTGTATAAAAAGCCGCAAGTTAAAGCTGCTCTCGGATTTCTTGTAAATTTTCAAATAGAAAAATAAATATTGCTCCCATCATTGACGCTTTGAAGAGGGTTGTTAAAAATTCATTTTAAAAATCCCTTTTAGTCTCCAGTTTTATTTTACCCGACAACTTTTACATATTCATTATTTTTAACTGTCAATTTTAAGTTGTATTTTGATTTTTAAGAAAAAATTAAATTATTAAATAATATTTTTGTGAAAACTAGTTTACGCCTGTAATCTGTACAAAAAAATATTCTGAGATTGTAATTTAATTGATAAATTAAAATTCTTTTAGCGCATTTTTACGCAGCCTCGAAGGCTTATAAGAATAAATAGTAATGTAAGAATTAAATCAAATATTTTTTTCAAATTTCGGAAATGAACAAATTTTTTATGAGAATTTTATGTATAATTCGCATTTAATTTTTATAAAACTTTTGAATGGAAAATGAATTCTCAAAAATTGACTTTGGTAAATTCGGTAAATTGTAACAATATATAAATATACAGGGTTAGACGTGGATGCTTTATAAACCTATCAAATATAAAATAATCTCAAAAATCGTAGTTTTTCGTAAATAAACTTCTAGATAATATCTTCCCTAAACATTTTTTAATTTTCAGATAAAATGGGACAAACACAGAGTCGGGTGGATAGAGTCGATACAGGGATGAGATTTAAAAATTTTTATTTTCCAAAAAATTATTTTTATGGTTTTCTTCGATTAATGAATTTTAGATTTATATATAGATCACTTTTGACGTTTACAAACACTGTCTGGAACCGATAAGCGTCAAAACGGCCCATTTTTTTTGACTGACCTCACTTGATCCTTGGGAAGGTTCATGGATGCTCAGAATTACAAAAATTTATCGCAAAACTTTTTTCGATTTTTGTAAAAAAAAATAAAATCTACGAAAATATATTATTGAATCCGCAAACTTTTTTTTGTTATTATTTCATATTGAAAAAAATATATTATGATCACAGAAGTTGTAATACGGTAATACCCTGATAAGAAAAGTAAACAAATATACAGGTTGTTAATTCTTTAGATTTTAAATTGTTTTTAATCCATTTGAAACATTTATTGAGTTTGGCCCTAGTCAGGTATCACGAAAATCTGCGAATGTTTTTTTTGATAAGTTTGTCTTAAATTGTGAAATTCATGGTGGAAGTTTATTAAGGGCACCCGGCACACTGTATTTTATACTCCAGTCTTAAGTTCGTTCTCCTTCATTAAACAATTCAAATACTTTACAGAAAAATAAAAATAAATTTAATTCATTAATAATTAACATTTTTATTATCAATATAATTGTTATTGCCCCCCCCCACACCTTCAATAATAAACACTTTTTTCAGATTGTCTGTTTTTTTAATAACAGTAATTTTATCTATTTTAAAACAGTGGTCGGGATTTGTTAAAATTTTAAATTTAAAAATCGAATCCTTGCTTCATCAGACTCGGAAAGAGATCTTGTCGCCGATGGCTCGACGAACGGCCGAATCTCCTTTTTCGGCAGCTGTTGGAATCGTCTGTTTGGCCGATGTTCAAGAAAACGGAAGAGAAGTGAGAATGAAGATTCGGTTTCGAGAAATTATAAAATCATAAGATTAGGAACAATTCCGATTCAAATGATTTAAAACAAACATATAATTATTATTTTTTTCCTGTAGAATTAATTTTATGGGTCCCCAGCTTCGATCATTTAACGAGATTTTTCAATGTTTTTCTAGTTTATCAATAATTCTTTCTCTAAAAACATAATCATTAAAAAAAGATATTTTATTGGAATTTGCCTATTGAAGATGCTAGCACGGAGATTGAAGATCACCTCATGACGTCATCGTCAACACAGACCGAACCGTCGCCGCTAGACGACCAGGAGGTACGCCGACTGACTGACCCTTCGCTGTCAGACAGTCGGCAGACAGTCACTTCACAGATAGAAAATTACTCACAGACAGATAGTCTAACAGCGGAGATGGATGACATCTGTCAACAGCTGGATATTGGGTCAGCACAGATAAAAGGAGAAGATGGAAAAATTGGGAAGAAAGGAGGAAAGAAGGGGAAGAAAGAGAGAAGAAAGAAGAAATGGGAAGAAGAAGAAGAAGAAGATGAGATGATTGTTGAGAAGATTAAAGAAAGAGAAGAAAAAATAGAATTGGATTGGATGGATTTTCCTTTCTTAACAGATGCTAGGAGCATTCAGCATTGTCAGGTTCTCATTTAATATATTCATTCTTTATAGCATTAATTCATTCACATATTCATTCTTTGTAGCTTTAATTCATTCACATATTCATTAATTATAGCATTAATTCATTCACATATTCATTCTTTGTAGCTTTAATTCATTCACATATTCATTGTAGTATTAATTCATTCACATATTCATTCTTTATAGTATTAATTCATTCACATATTCATTCTTTATTGTATTAATTCATTCACATATTCATTCTTTCTAGCATTAAATCATCCAGATATTGATTGTTTCATATAATGTAGATGCTACGTGGTTTAGGTTTCCCATATAATGTAGTTTCTACGTGGTTTTAGGTTTCCCATATAATGTTGATTCTACGTGGTTCTAGGTTTCCCATATAATGTAGTTTCAACGGGGTTTTAGGTTTCCCATACAATGTAGTTTCTACGTGGTTTTAGGTTTCCCATATAATGTTGATTCTACGTGGTTTTAGGTTTCCCATATAATGTAGTTTCAACGTGGTTTTAGGTTTCCCATATAATGTAGTTTCTACGTGGTTTTAGGTTTCCCATGTAATGTAGATTATACGTGGGTTTAGGTTTCCCATACAATGTAGTTTCAACGTGGTTTTAGGTTTCCCGTATAATGTAGTTTCTACGTGGTTTTAGGTTTCCCATATAATGTAGTTTCTACGTGGTTTTAGGTTTCCCATATATCTTACTTACTCACAAAAAATTGTCATGAGTTTCCACTTTTCACAAAAAATTTTTTTTAAATTTCTATTTTCCAAGAAATGATCTTTTTGTTATAATGAACTTAGTAAAATAAAAGTGAAAAGATTTTCCAGTTTCCATTCAACACGGGAATGCTGAGCTTTAAGAAGCGAAATTAGTGTTTAAAAAACTTGTGGAGAAAGGATGAGGGGTGGGAATAATATTTCATGAGAATACAGTGTGTCCCAAGAAACATGCGAGACGAGAGACGACTTGAAGATCACTTTCGATTTTTGAAATAATTTGCGGCATCATCTGTCAACCTACTTTTACAAGCGAATCACCTCTAGTCCTGGCATTCCAAAATGTGTATGCCGCGAATTATTTCATAGATTAAAGACGATCTATGATTATGTTTAGCCGCGGCGTACGGCCCCATAGCCTGTTCTAGCCGCTGCGCTCGGCCCCCTATCCTTTATTAGCCGCAACGCTCGGCCCAGAAAGTGTCTTAACCTAACCTAACCCTAAAATATGTACTAACATATCTCTTGTAATTCAACGCGGCAAGTGCACATAACTTACTTGGGCAGCTACCTAGTGACCCTCTATGCAAAGATGCTAATGCCCAATGTACCCTTGAAAGCTTTGTCTAAATTATATAGCAATGTTTTTTGTTTCTCTAACCTGTTTATTTTCATTCGTGTATTCTCTGCGAAAGTGACTTGCGCTTTTATTGTTATTAGAATCAATGGAGAAACACACAAAAATATGCAGTTTTCGAGTCAGAAAAGCGATATTATCTTCCACATTTTTATCAGAACAAGGTTTTAATCGGATATTGTCATCTATGCACTTTATATTACGTTAACAGTCTCTTTAAGGTTGAAGAATTGAAGAATGCTCATCAGTTCAGCCAGGATATATGTGATGAGTACTGTTCCAGGTACTAGATCCCTTAATCTCGATATCCACTGTGGGCACTATTAATTTGAGGATCAATGCTTAATCTCTTCAGTTCTTTAGGATACAATTGCCACTGCGGGATAATGAACACAGATTACATTAATCTGCAGATTTTGAAAAAATTGAGATCAAGCATTGGTTGAGCTGAAATTTGTTGTGGAAAAAAAATTCTAAACTTTTTTTTCACCGACAACACCGGGCCCTTTAGCTACTAGTATATATTTTATAAATTTTTGCCAAAATTTCAGAGATAATTATAACCTTCAAACTAATATTGTCCTAAATTACAAAGAAAAATATATTTTAAATATTTATTTTTGTTCAGAGGTGAACTGCTGGTTGTGGTGGATAATACCAATGTTAAACGATGGGAGATGGGAACATACTTTAAACTGGCAGAAAAATATAGGTAGAGTCTACCCCTCCCCCCCTCCCCTCTTCAAAGCTAGAGTTATAAGTTGGTCCTCCTTGTGTTCCATGTATGTCTATATGTCACGTTTGCGTACGTCCTCAATAGTGTATTCCTAAAGTTCACCCTCAATGTGGGGTCTTATTGTACGTCGATGCAAGTTGTCAGCTAATACAAGCAACTATTCTATTCATTGTTTATCTTGTCTGCCTGTTTGTTTGTTTGTCTGTTTGTATCCAATAAACGTCAAAACGGCTGAACCGATCGGGCCCAAATTTTTTGTGGGACCTCTCGTGGCCCCAGGGAAGGTTTATGAATGATCAAAATTTCAAATATTTGTCTCCATCAAAATTCGATCTTCATTAAATTTTTGAAAATTTTGAAAATCCACGAAATTTTTGGTGAAAATCCGCGTACTTTTTCTGTTTTATTTTACAATGTACACAAAGAGAACATGTTCAAAATTAAAGTAGAAGTTGGGCGCGAAAAGGCCTAGTTAATTATATTTGACCAATTCAAATTCAAATTGACCATAGTCGACTGGGATGCGCTGCACCCTGAGGCGGTCTGTAGGTCTCCATGTTCATTTTTTTCAGATCTTATTATTTCTTGATTGTTGCCAGGTATACTGTGATACTAGCGGAACCTAAAACTCCCTGGAGATATAATGTTCAAGAACTGGCAGCAAGGTAACATTATTCTGCACTGCTCACTCATGGTCAATTAATGGTCAGTTATTTTATAGCCCTGTCATAAAATGTTCATAGTGCTATGTTTTTATGTTCCTTTATATTATAAAACGAAGGGAAACTTCCTGGATTTTCTCCAACAATTTCTAGAAACATAAAATACAATTTAAATAGAAATAAATTGAAATTAACGATTTTTTTTTCTTTTCTTCTCTTGCTGAAAAGCTATTCATATCCAGAAATAACCATGTTATCAAGTACACAAACACATAATACACCACTATTATTTTGGCACTACGTCCTATAAATTGTTAAGACTAAAAATTTTCACTGTTTCTTAAAGGTTTTAACCTTTTTAGATTTTTTTTGTCCCTTGTTTATGTGTGTGACAAATAGGGCTTGAACCTTTCCAAAAAAGAGAACATAGCGCTGAGAACCAATAAAAAGTGTTATAAATAATTATTAAAAAATTTTCTGAAATCAGTTTTTTCATTAAAATTTTAAATTATTCATAGAAGATGAATAAGCTAAAAAGAAAAGGATTATTAAATGAAATGAAATTAATAAAAAATAACAATTCACTGTTTGTTTGTTTTTAGAAATAGTCATGGAGTGAGTATAGATGTGCTTAGTAGAAGAGTCAAAGATTATGAACGGGTTCTCCCTAGGTTGGATATTTTTAAAATATTGAATTCTCTGGATGATTGTCACTGAAGGGGTGAATATTTTCTTGAAAAACATTCCCCCTCTTTAAAGAAAATATTTAAAGATGTTGTTTTCACTGAATATGTTTTTTTTACTGAATTGTTGAATAAAATGAATTTAAAGATGTTGTTTTCACTGAATATGTTTTTTTTACTGAATTGTTGAATAAAATGAATTTAAAGATGTTGTTTTCACTGAATATGTTTTTTTTTACTGAATTGTTGAATAAAATGAATTTAAAGATGTTGTTTTCACTGAATATGTTTTTTTTAATGAATTGTTGAATAAAATGAATTTAAAGATGTTGTTTTCACTGAATATGTTTTTTTAATGAATTGTTGAATAAAATGAATTTAGGGAATCATAGGACCATGTTCAATAAAGTAATTCCTTAAAACCTCTGTATCACTGTCACTGTTACTGTTACCGTTTTTATTGTTAATGTCATAAAAAAATTATATCTATTTATGTCATTGTAATGGGTATTATAAAGTACGAACAAGTTTTTGCCGGGATTTTTATTCGTTCGGTGTAAAAATACTTTCATTTTGATCTCAAACAAACTAGAAAAATAAAAAACAGCAAAAACTTTTTCGCACGCATGATACCCATTTCAATAACATATATAGTTTTATTCAGTTTTACTCAAATTATTTGAAAGCAGGTCGATAAAGTTACTTAATCACCCTATTGTAGAGTGATTAAGTAACTTTAGCACCCTACAATGAGACAATTAGGTATGAAATTTGAAATTCTATTAGCAGGGTGAAAAGGTTTCTTTTTCGCCCTGTTGTAGGGCGATAAAGTCACTTAATCGTCCTACAACGGGAAATATTAGGTGTGATAAATTCCATCAAATTGAATAAACCATTTATTTGTTTCTAGATATTTTGGTTGGTTCTTGAACCTGGCGGACAGTAGAGATCTGTTAACAACGGCTAGTTAGAACACTGCTCATATATAGACTTTTTGAAAAGAACGACATTTTGAGGAGCGTTGACAAATTATGTTTGATTTATTAGGAGTTCCTTGCTGCCTTCAAGAAGAGTACGGGAGTTGAAAATTTAGAGGATTTATTAGAATTTTATTCAAGGGAATTACAACATTATCAATTATTTCTCCTTTTCATTATTTGGAATAGATTAATGACAATTAACGCCATGAAATATTTAAACAAAATAGAATGTCGCCCTTGTTCAACGTGTTCGACTACATTAAAATCTTAAATTTAAGTAATGGTTCAGCAATGCATTTGTACGTTTTCTTGGGGCCAGCTGAAAGTGACTGATAATTTAAACTGATCCTTCATGAAAAGATGGCAAAGCCCGATACACAACGGAACCCTTGAAAGCTTAAACACTTAAAAACCTTAAAAAACGTAAATATCTTCAAAATGATTGATCAGGCAAGGTCAATCGGGCATTTGCATCAGTTTATGAAGGGTCATCTTCTCAAAATGTGTTTTTTAATTTATTTAAGCTTTTCTGTTTGTATTATATCATTTGATATTCCGTGAAATCAAATAATGCCTCATACTTTTTTCTTTGTTCGAGAAAAGTGCCTATTGCCTAACCAAATATTATTTTCATATTTTATAAATAATAATTTTAAATGTTGCATGTTCCAAAGATCTGAGATACAGGGAGCTGGAGCAGAAATCATTCATTGTACTGCAAAGTTTTTCAGGAAAACCGGTTTTATTGTATTATTGTTTACATTTTCTACTGGTGTAAAGTGCGTGCTTGTTGTACATAATTCCGATCGCATTGTGTACATTATTGACTTTTTTAGTTTTGACATAGTTAGTACATTTTCGTGAAAAAATTCGGGCAAAAATTCGCGCAAAAGTAAAATTAGTTTAATTCAGAAAGTATTTAAAGCAACTATTTTTTTATATTATGTATTCCTATTCATTTGATTTAACATGGCCAACATTTGAATATTAACATTAAACTACTAAAAAAAAAATTTTTTAACTGGTTCGAATTAGGAAGGGAGAGGAAGACAAGTATATGATGAGAGCTGCTCTCGGTAATATTTAAAAAAAAAATTTCTTAATGAAAATCTACTTAATTTTAATTTTTGTGTGGAATAAGATTATTAAAGGAATTGAGCATTTGCCACAAAATCTAAATTTTAAATCCCTATATCTTTGCAACCTGATGATGTAATCCTTTGATATTTCAAACTTATATTATTTTATCTAACAGCATTTATAGTTTAAAAAATATCAAAGGTCTACACCGTTGGGTTGCACAGCCCGATATGGGATACATCTTTCACATAAAAAAATGAATGAAATATTCTGGTCAAATGAAACTATTATGTGAATTATCAACTTTATCAGAATTTGATGCTTTTAACCTCCTCGGATACAAAACGAACACTGATGCATCTATTCTTGTTTACAAATTCCGCCCAGAGAGAACTGGTTTTAATGTGTACGCAGAGTATACGCAACTGAATTAACTTTCCTTGCATTATAACCTTGGCATCGTGAATGTTATTTACAGCATATAATTTCCGGTTTTTAATTTTTGAGAACGGCTGAAATAAAAAAATCCACGAATTGAACAAATTAGTTTTAAAAAAGGATTTATTCTCAATCCTTGGCTTATTATTCTGGATTATCAATTTTAGATAAATTGGTTGATTGATTGATTGTTGTTAGATTGATAGGTTTATTGATTGATTGATTAATTGTAAATTACTATTTAGAGAGTAATGTAGGACGAACTACAAGATTATCTATCTCAGGGTTCTCCTTAACAAGGGAAACCTTCGGAGCTAAACTAAACCTAACCGAGGACCAACTTGGTAATTATTTTGATCTACTTCATAGATACAGAGCGTCCCATATCATATTGGATTATCTTTCATCTTTAATGTCAAAAATGTACACAGTAAACTCAAAGAACCTTGTATTTTCTGTATGAACATTTTATATTATATTTTTTATTATGTTTTTTGGTGGCTTACCAAAGAGATGATTAAATTGAAAATGGTTCTCTAAAACGGTCAGAATTCCATTCTTTTAAAATTGATGTGTACATGTAGAGCTTTGGGACCAGAACGACGAGGAGGTGAATCCATCCAAACATAAGTTCGCGGGAAATCAGCTGAAAAGTGGCGGGAAAACTAAAAAGTCACAAAACGAGAAAATCCGCAACGACGAAGACGACCTGTCTCTCTCTTCTGTGAGAACATCTAAAGATGGCGGCGTTCCTGCTGTACATTCTGGCGTGGCAGGGAGAAGGGCGCATTTTACATTAGGTAACTGAAATTCCTAGTTATCAAATTTTATATTTTGTTAGCTTGGGAACCCAGCGTTGCCCAGGTTACTTAGTTACTCCCGCCTTTTAACCCCGCTTGGTAAAGGTAAAATTAAGGGGGCTAAAGTTTAGACATTTTAGGAGTTGATAGCAACCAATATTACTTATATCTGATGTCCTTGACTCGAGAAATTGATGCAAAACTGTGTCAAAGCTATACAAAAACTCATATATACTTAATATGGCCGACGAAGCCATGGGACCAGATACTGAACGGCCATTGGTGGATATTCTAGTTCATGATACACACGGAGCCACATGACTAGATACTGCACTGCCATTGGTGAAAATTCTTGTCACAGCCGTAAATATTATATATCAGTTATATCTATCAAAAATGAATAAGCATTATATTTAAATCATGATAGGAGCGTACCCAAAATTTCTAGGCACTTCTGGGTTATCCTAATTTTCAGATTTGTTCTATATTTGGTGAAAATGATCTGTTTGAAACTTTGATTCATAAATGGTATCACATATATATTGACACAGTTTTATATTGATTTCTCTATCTCCTAATCAAACTATGAACATAGCTTAGTTTGGAAGTTCTAAATGCAGTGCGTTGACTTAAATAGGGATAACGTAGTTTCTAGGCAACCCTGGGTTCCCAAGCTAGTAAAAGATCTATATTATAAACCTCTCCGCTCAGGTATATTGTATATATATTTATATGTTAGCTATAGCTGGCCTGTGGAGTAACATAGGCTAAAAAATTCAACATTTTTTTTTCAAAAATCAAAATGTTTTTTTTTAAATTAAAAAAAAATGTTTTATGTGTAACGCCGGGCAATGGGCAATAGTCTTATAATAAAACAAGACATTCTTATATATATATGTTGCGTACAGTGGGCCAAATATATTGCTGGACCGATTGGGCTAGCCGGGGGTGTAAAGGCTAAAAAAATCGATTTTTTTCAAAATAGTTTTTTTCAAACGGCAACGCCGGGCCCTTCAGCTAGTAAATTGTATAATTCATTTGTGCTAGGAACCAGTGGAGGTGCTAAACCAGTTCAAACCGGATTTGATATTCTGGACGCCCAGCGGATCCTGGAGAAAGGAGTTGAGATCTCCAGAATTAGAATTGGAGGTAAATTTCAGATATCCCCTTCCCCTTCTATCTCATCTTACTAAACGTATTGATAGTAGTAATGTTCTATTTTAAAAGAAAAGTTCCAACATTAATTTTAAAATATTTTAGAAGTGAGGATTCATTATGGTACCATTATGCAAGTAGAAAACACCAATATGGGAGCTTTCTTTTGTTTTCTCATAAATATTAAACAACCAGCCAAAATTATCATGATCAATAGCCGGTTATTGTAAAGGCTCCTAAGAGCCTGAAGGAGAAAGGGGGGAGGGCTCCTAAGAATGTAAATAAATCTGATGATTAACCGGTTTCTCTGAAGGTGTACTGCCGGCCACCCTGATCAACCTGGACAACACAAACTGGTTTATTCACCTGGACAGGTCAGAGGGGGAAACTTTTGGTTAAAAAGCGCTAAACTGGATTTTGAAAGAGCAACATTTTAAATTTTAGGATTTAAGATTAAATCTGGGGATTAGATTAAGCTGATTGTTTTCCCTTAAGCAATAGACATACTGAAGGATTTAAAAGCAATTCTTGGGATTTTTTTGTTTTTGTAGTTTTCATTTTACAGGGGTTCAGTGCTTAGGATCCATTTCATTTTGATCCAAAATATTACTATTTTTTTTTTAAAGATTATATTTAGATTTTTTTAAGGGCATTTTTAATGTTCTAGTTATAATCTTTTGCCATTTATGAGTCACGGAAGTTCGTAGTAAGATTTTGACTCCACTGGACACCACCGGAGGGAATTCTTTTTCACTGGAGGGGTTTGAAAAAATGCTTTTTACAATTCAAAATTTTACGCAGGGTGATTTACATTCCACTGGAGGGATTCAGATGTCTCCCTGAATTTGGAATTTTTTGTTCCTATTTTCAGAATAGCTTCTCAATAGCATGCTTAAGGGAAAGAAACCCTAGTGCAAAACAGGAAAATATCTGTCTTAATAAACTATAATGTGTGAAAAGTTAAAAATCTAGTTTTTTAGTCTTTAGTCATTAATTTTGACTCTTTTTGAGTCTTTAAAGTCAAACAAATGTTCGCCTATGGTGCGATTTTTTGTTCCTATTTATGAATTTTAAGTTCCTAAAAAATCTTGCCCGCCCCTCACTTAAATCCTGTATCCGCCCCTGTTTAAGACCCAATCTTCAAACCAACTCTGACGAACGCTTGTGTCACGTGATTAACAGCTGCAAAATCTTCTGCTCTTAGGCCCAATGAAAATAAAACCAACCTTGGTTGGTTTTAGTGAAGAATAAGACTCAATGTTGAGTCTTGTTCTCAACAAACCTCGGAATGCGCCAATTCCTACCATGAAAATCTGCCAAATTGAATATTAAACCGGTTTTTTGAACTCAACTATGATGAAAATAAGATACAGCTTGAATCCGAAAACTCAAGCCGTAAATAAGGCCCAACGACTGCTTAAAATACGACCTAAGTCGTATTTTCCCGATTTTTTTTTAATCGCAGGCTCTGTTCTTGAAAAATTATTTTTTAATATGTATCAAAAAGAATAAAAAAATTTGAATTGTTATTTATATTAATACTTCTAAATTTTCTTTTTTCTTAAGTGTCTAAACATCTTTAGAATTTTATGAAAAGTGAGAAATAGAATTTTTTAGAATATAATTTATTAATTATTGTTTTTGTTTAGATGTATAACTCTGAACTCAGTGTTCACTGGAAGTTACTAAACCTGGTGCTGAAAAAAATATGGACATTTTATTCTAAAGTTTGTAAAACATTAACCTTAAAAATCCTGCATTAGTGTGCACTGGACATATTAAAAAATGTGATGAAAAACTAGTCCAGAGATGAGACTTTAAAAGCTAGAAACCCCGAGTAAAACCCAAACTCCGGCTTAGATAGAACCCAAGTCAGGATTGGTTCTGATTCGACCAATGAGAGACTGTTTAGCAAGCTTTCTCTCTGTAACAGACAGAATGCCGTCAGATCAGCTGTGAGAAGGAGAATAGAATTATCCTTATTTCCTTTTATTGTCTGTTTTAAATTAAAGGGATTTGCTGATAATAGAAAATTAAGTTTTAATAAACATAATTTTCAGAGACATATACAGGGGGGGGGGCTACAGGGGCTCAGTGCCCCCTCATGGATCAGTGAAGTCTATAGTTTCCATGTGATCTGCACTGGCAGGCCCAATTTTGTACAAGAAGAGAAAAGGGAAATGGAAAGAAAAAAGGGGATGTAATTGGGAAAGGGGAAGGGACGGAGGCACAGGGAATCAAGAGAAGGGGAAAGGGGAGGGGAAAAGGGAAAGAGGATGGGGAAGGGTTAAGGTTAAAGCAGTGCTTAGGATCCGGATCTGTTGGATCTGCAAGATTTTAGCTTCCTGAATCCAGATCCGGATCCGCAAAAATAGGCGGATCCACGGATCCGGATCCAAGGGGTAAAATATAAACCAAAAACTGCAAAAAAAATCTTTTTTACTCCAAAACCCCAAATCTTTACTTTTGAAAAAAAAAGATTATAAAAATTTCCTCATTTCTTAATGGTTCATCAAGTTTTAGGATAAAAATAAGCGAAAAAAAAACCAAAAATTTGAAAATTTTGTTTTGTTAAAAAATTTCAGTAAATCTTTAAGAAATGACCTGGATCCATTTTTTTCCAGTGCGGATCTAAGATCCGGATCCGGATCCGCATTAAAATTGAATGGATCCTAAGCACTGGGTTAAAGGAAAGAAGAAAGAGGAACAAAAAGTGGGGGGGGGGTTATGTGCACCCAGCGTACCCCCTTGTATTAAGGGAAAAAGGAGTTAAGGGGAAACATAAAGGTTAAGAAAAGGTCAAGATGAACGGAAAGGGGAGATCAGGGGCATATTTAGGAAGTTGTTCATAGGGCTAACATTTTTTTCTGTCCAGGAAGGGCTTAGCACCGGTTTGGGTCCAAGCTGCAGCGCTCGGCCCCTAGCCATTTAACCTGTCCTGGCCGCATGACTCGGCCCCCTTTTTCGCAAGTCTTCGCCCAGAAATTATGCTAACCAAGGCTAACCATAAACTAATACAAAATAATTATTAATAATTATGTTGAAATTAGTTTTTTATTAAATTATGTGCGAATTTCTCCTCCATAATTTTTATTTGAAAGGAACACTTTTTATTTGACAATATTTTCCACATTATTGACCAGATAAAGTTAAGAGGGTACAGTTGTAAATTGGACATGCTCCCCAGTAAACTAATAAAATGTAAATTAAAGTTGCAACAGCAGTACCTTTCAGGCTAACTATATCAAAGAATTGTTGACGGATTAATTATTTTTAATAATGTTTCATTTCAGATATATTGAAGGCCTAAACTGCAACTATGAAGTCTAAAATGATTAACATCAAGGATTTTGATTTCCATGATTTGCTTGACTCTACATCCAACCTTCATGATGTTGAATTCAAGATTATAGATGAGAACTTCCAGGAGCTGGGAACTGTCAGGTCCCACAAGTTCTTGCTGTCCCTCCTGTCCCCTGTGCTGAAGAAGATGTTCAGCAGCCGGGAGGAGGGATCCATTGTTGTTGAGATCACTGGTCCATCCTTCATAAGCTTCCAGACCCTCATCCAGTTCTTATACACTGGAGATGAGTCAGTTATTACAGGTCAGTTAAACCATCCTTCATAAGTATCCAGACCCTCATCCAGTTCTTATACATTGGAGATGAGTCAGTTATTACAGGTCAGTTAAACCATCCTTCATAAGTATCCAGACCCTCATCCAGTTCTTATACCCTGGAGATGATGCAGTTATTACAGGTCAGTTGAACCATCCTTCATTACTTTCCAGACCCTTATCCAGTTCTTATACACTGGAGATGAGTCAGTTATTACAGGTCAGTTAAACCATCCTTCATTAGTTTCCAGACCCTCATCCAGTTCTTATACACTGGAGATGAGTCAGTTATTACAGGTCAGTTAAACCATCCTTCATTAGTTTCCAGACCCTCATGCATCTTCTAAAACTATTTAATAGTTTCTTTCAAAGATTAAAAGGGAAATTGATCTTTATGTTGAGATGTATCCTCTCTTGATGACCTGTTTCATCTTTTTGTTCAGAAATACCCTCTATTAATGATCTTATTGATCTTTATGTTCAGATGTATCCTCTAATGATGATCTTTTTGATCTTTATGTTCAGATATATCCTCTATTAATGATCTTATTGATATTTATGTTCAGAAATATCCTCTATTAATGATCTTATTGATCTTTATGTTCAGATGTATCCTCTATTGATGATCAGTTTGATATTTATGTTCATATGTATCCTCTCTTAATGATCTTATTGATCTTTATGTTTAGATATATCCTCTATTAATGATCTTATTGATCTTTATGTTCAGATATATCTTCTATTAATGATCTTATTGATCTTTATGTTCAGATGTATCCTCTAATAATGATCTTGTTGATCTTTATGTTCAGATATATCCTCTATTAATGATCTTACTGATATTTATGTTCAGATGTATCCTCTATTGATGATCTTATTGATCTTTATGTTCAGATATATCCTCTATTGATGATCTTATTGATCTTTATGTTCAGATATATCCTCTATTAATGATCTTATTGATCTTTATATTCATTAATGATCTTATTGATCTTTATGTTCAGATGTGTCATTTATTAATGATCTTATAGGTATTTATGTTCAGATATATCCTCTATTGATGATCTTATTGATATTTATGTTCAGATGTATCCTCTATTGATGATCTTATTGATCTTTATGTTCAGATATATCCTCTATTAATAATCTTATTGATCTTTGTGTTCAGATATATCCTCTATTGATGATCTGTTTGATCTGTATTATCTGGGAGACAAGTATGAGCTGCGTGGAGCCAGGAACCTGATTAAGGAAGTTGTCTCTAGCTTCAAGATTAACCAGGAGAACTGGATTCATGTACTCAAGGGAATCAAGAAGTACGAGAATACTTTCCTGTTTGAAGATCTCTGTAACATACTTCAGGATCAAGTTCAAGGTATTGGGATTCATTCAATTATATAATTTACTTGACAGTTGATTTTTATTAATATGGTAGAGGAATCAATTAATCAATTATTAATTTGTGTTATCTTTTTGTTTAGGGTATTTGAAGGGCTGTCCCTCTTCTGATGAATACCTGGATGATATTCAAGAATCTGATGACACAGATTTCTATTCCTGGGTCAAAAACTGGATTCAGAAATGGAGGAGATCAGACACAGGTTAGTCTGATTGTATATAATTACATTTTTTTGTTTTTATTTTTATACTTTATATAAGTTTGTAATAAATAAAAATAGATATGTAAAAATATAGAAAATTTTGTGGAAATTCTCTTCACAAAATTTATGCAATTAGTTTCGTTTTGTCCTAGGCTCTCCATAGAGCTATATAATGTTCAAATCCAAGTCATTTTTATTACTTATACTTTTGCTTTGTACTTGGTTGGGGAAAATTATGACTTGTCTAAAAAAAATGAATTTTTCTTTGGAGAAAGTTGTTAAATATTGCTGAAAGCTTTCCTTAACTTGCGATCACATACGTTTCCTTTCTTATCTTCTTATCCTTACATTTTCCTTCTAAACCTTTCCCATTTCTGCCTTCTTCTTGTCTTCCCTACTTAACCCTTCCTGTCTTCAATTCCCTACCTTCCTCTTTTCTTCCTTCTATTCTATACCTTCCCCTTCCCTCTCCCTCATTATACCTTCCCCTTCCCTCTCCCTCATTATACCTTCCCCCTTCCCTCTCCCTCATTTCCCTCATTATACCTTCCCCTTCCCTCTCCCTCATTATACCTTCCCTGGTCTCTCCCTAATTTGAATTTATCTGTATTTGTTTACTAAATTTTCATCACTCTCATTGGTCGGAGTATCCAAGAATAGAGAATAAAGCAGAAAATTTAAAGTGTTTACAGTGGATACAGAGATTGCATGATTGGGATTCATTTTCTTAAGTTTTCTGCTCAAATTACAATTTATTAAACAACAAATCTGTTTTGAAGGTTAAAAAGATGGAAGACCACATTTTGTAAAGCTTTTGAGGATTCCAAATATTATTTTTGATACCACCTTTGTCAGTTATCCTTTTCTTTGTCAGTTATCCTTTTCTTTGTCAGTTATCCTTTTCTTTGTCAGTTATCATTTCTTTGTCAGTTATCCTTTTCTTTGTCAGTTATGCTTTCCTTTGTCAGTTATCATTTTCTTTGTCAGTTATCCTTTTCTTTGTCAGTTATCCTTTATCTCCTGTTTCCATTCCCTACCTTACTTTTTTCTTCCTTCAATTTCCTACTTTCCTTTTCCCTCTTTATACCTTCCCATGTACCTCCCTAATTTTTCCTTTTATAAATTCCCCTCCCCCTCCTAAAATCCCCTTTCCCCTCCTATCTATGAGATCTGAGATTTTAACAAAAATACCCGTTATCCCCTATATCTGAGTAACTATTTGGAAGATATTGTCTTTTTCTATTTGAAAAGTATTAATTCTCATAATTATATTTTACAGAGAAACTGCAATTAAAAATACCCAATTATCAGCAAGGAAAGTTAAGATATCTCAATCATCCTTGCCAAGACAAGAGTTTAAAGGGTACTATTGTGAATCAGACATGTCACTATGTAAATACAGGTTGACCTGAAATTACGCCTATAGTACCTTTTAACTATTATATTTTCAGGTTTACAAGAAGCAGATAGAAAGTATTCACAGGAAAGTGAAAAGGATTTAAAGATTCAAATCCAGAATTTGAAATATCAGCATGAAGAACTTATCCAGACAAAGGATAGAAAGATTCAGAATTCGGAATCCCAGAATGAAGAATTTATTAAGAACACAGAACTGAAATTGAGAATGATGAAGGAAATGAAAGGCAAAGCAGATTTTGAAGTTGTTAACCCAGATTGTCCTGGTGAATATGGGAGTAATATTCCCTTATTATTATCCCTTATTATTATTATAATTATCCCTTATTATTGTGGGAGGAATATTCCTTTAGATAGTTGTATTGAGTTTGATGAGTTTAATGAGTTTAATGAGTTTAATGAGTATCTGCAGCTGAATACAGAAGTGCTCTTTTATGGTAAGTTTGCAGTTTATAAGCTGGAAGAATCCAGAGACTGGTTTATAATCAAGACAAAGTATGTCAATGGAAATCGGGTGTTCTACATCATGCACCACAGTGAAGAGGAAACAAAGGATGTGTTCTATTACAGTTTAAAATATTTGGATAATATATACATCTTTAAGCCTGTAACAGTGAGATGTGCTCCTATGGGGATATCACTAGAGGATGCTGTACTCAATAACTTCACAACAAACATATCAAGCCGTTTAACTCAAGAAGAAGCGAAATTTACAATAACAATGTATAAAGCATAATCATCTTTGTCCACCACCAACCCATCTCAAACATATGAGATAGTGTTTCTAAAATTTGAAGAAATAAGAAATAGATTGTTAAGTAAATGAATCTATTTTTATGTTAATCTTATTACTGAGCTTATATATTTATTATAAGTGTTAATTTCCAGAAAAAGTGAGAACCATATTTTTCCTCCTCTTGAATCAATTTTAATTTTTTTTAATTTACTGTAACAATTGTGCTTCTGTAAGTACTATTGTATATATTTCCTATTATTTTCATATATTATTGCAAATAAAGACTATTTTTTAATTTACTGCAACAATTGTGCTTCTGTAAGTACTATTGTATATATTTCCCATTATTTTCATATATTATTGCAAACAAAGACTATTTTTTAATTTACTGTAACAATTGTGCTTCTGTATATATTTCCCATTATTTTCATATATTATTGCAAATAAAGACTATTTTTTAATTTACTGTAACAATTGTGCTTCTGTTGGTACTATTGTATATATTTCCCATTATTTTCATATATTATTGCAAATAAAGACTATTTTTTTAATTTACTGCAGCAATTGCGCTTCTGTTAGCACTATTGTATATATTTCCTATTATTTTCATATATTATTGCAAATAAAGACTATTTTTTTTTAATTTACTGTAACAATTGTGCTTCTTTCTGTAAGTACTATTGTATATATTTCCTATTATTTTCATATATTATTGCAAATAAAGAGGATTTTTTAATTTACTGTAACAATTGTGCTTCTGTTAGTACTATTGTATATATTTCCCATTATTTTCATATATTATTGCAAATAAAGAGGATTAAGAAAAACAAAATTCAGGTTAGATTTTTGAAAATTTTTATTTTCTGAAATTTAGTGTTTGGTTAAATTTAATAAACTTTTGAATCGTAAATCTTAGCATCAAGCACTGATCTTCATCTTAAGCATCCCTGCGGATTAATTTAATTCTTTTTATAAATCCTGTGTTGAGCAATGATCATACCCTGCAAGTATAACTTTGTTAGTTAGTTAGAGTCAAGAATGTAATGCAAGGAAAGTTAATTGCAGTTGCGTATTGCGTGCATATTGAAACCAGTTCTCTCTGGGCGGAATTTGTAAACAAGAATAGATGCCTCAGTGTTCGTTTAGTATCCGAGGAGGTTAAAAGCATTGCATTTTGACAATTTTGATAATTTACACAATAGTTTCCTAAGACCAGAATATTTCAATGATTATTTATGTGAAAGACGGATTGTAAGAAATCTAGATGGTGATAACTTTACTCTAACTCTAATACGAGTCTAACTGACTCTCTATCTCTCTAGCCAAAACTCAAGGCTCAAAGCACAACTGTGTAAAACAACGAGTAGTACTCAACTGATTTATTTCTATATTCAGGTGAATGAACTGACCGGGCTAGCCCGACCTGGTCAACTTACAAATCGTTAAGAATTAATAATAATCATAGATAAGGTAGATAGCATTAAGAACATAGATAACATAGATTGCATTACTACAGATTATATGTTACAGATCAGGGGGGGGGGATTTATACCCGTTTATCATTTATTACAAATCAATCGACGGTATAATTATATATTAGGAACCAATCGCTCAAGCTGGACGCTTTCAACTCTCGGGCACTTCCGGCTTTTCAATAGGGCCCAATTTAGGGTTATTCTAGTGATCAATGCTCCAAGAGTAGCAGTAGCTCCATAGAGTACGACACTTATTACGACAGAAATAGTTAGTACACTGTACTCGATTAAGAGTAACGTGTTTAAGCACATTTTTAGGTGCTCGATTTCCTTTGATATGAAGCCAAAAGGATTCATGGAGGCTAACATAGCCTGGCTACCCTCTTTAATATGTCGTTGGAAGTCTTCTAGGTTCATTCCTGCCATAGCACTCTGTCCTCCATAGCTGCAGGATTCGCCATCGCAGAGAGCGTTCAGAATTCGCTGGTGTTGGGAGTGTTGGAATGTGGGGAGCTGTTGATATTCTTCCCAATGTTGTAATTCGTCCCGGGTGTAGAGAGTGGACACCTGTTCACTAGGTTTGTAATCACTGGCGATCTCCATCTTCAAAGGAGTTGGAATCTGCAAAACTCTAGTTGACACTGAGATCCAGCCGGCGGTCGTCGATTTAATCATTATCGGGTACAGATCGTTACAGGGCTGAGCAGAAAGATGTGGAGTGATGACTCTAGTATCCAGGTCCGCCATGTACTTTGCTCCACAGACCAACACTGGGATTCCGCGAAAGCATGTTGGAGTTTCTGCAATTGGAACCTCAATCAGAGTACATTGATACTCGTACACTACTTCCCCTTGGCGTCGAACAAACAGGCCAGGAACACGCTGCAAGGGGTGGAGATAGTCATGGTCGTTCCGCACGTTGAGCCAAGTGGAGCAACCTCCACTCAAGGAAAGTTAAGATATCTCAATCATCCTTGCCAAGACAAGAGTTTAAAGGGTACTATTGTGAATCAGACATGCCACTATGTAAATACAGGTTGACCTGAAATTACACCTATAGTACCTTTAAACTATTATATTTTCAGGTTTACAAGAAGCAGATTTTCTGTCACCGGAAAGTGAACTCAAGGATTTAAAGATTCTAATCCAGAATATGAAATATCAGCATGAAGAACTTATCCAGACCACACAACAGAAAGATAAGATGATTGAAGAATTGAAATTAAAGCAGGAAGAACTAATCCGGACCACAGAACAGAAAGATAAGAGGATTAAAGAATTGGAATTAAAGCAGGAAGAACTGCAACATGATCTACAGACAAAGGATAGTAAGATTCAGAATTTGGAATCCCAGCATGAAGAATTTATTAAGAACACAGATCAGAAATTGAGAATGATGAAGGAAATGAAAGGAAAAGCAGATATTGAAGTTGTTAACCCAGTTTGTCCTGGTTGTTGTGAGAGTAATATTCCCTTAGAAAACATGGTTGAGCACATCAAAAGTTGTAAACGTATTAAGTTTGATGATAGGCATCTGAAGCTGAATACAGAGGTGATAGTTACTAATGATTGTTATAATGTAGTTTATAAGCTGGAAGAATCCAGAGACTGGTTTATAATCAGGGTATGGACTGTCAATGGAAAGAATGTGTTCTACATCATGCACCACAGTGAAGAGAAAACAAAGGATGTGTTCTTTTACAGTTGGAAATCTTCTGATGATGACAACTATATAAAACCTGTAATAGTGAGATGTGCTCCTATGGGGATATCACCTAAGGATGCTGTACACAATAACTTCACAACAAACATATATCGAAACATTGAGAAACTTACAATGTATAAAGCTTAATCATCTTTGTCTACTACCAACCCATCTCAAACATATGAGATAGTGTTTCTAAAATTAGAAGAAATAAGAAATAGATTGTTAAGTAATTGAAGCTATTTTTATGTTAATCTTATTACTGAGCTTATATTTATTAAAGTGTTTATTTCCAGAAAAAGTGAGAACCATATTTTGTATAAAGAAACATTAAATTCAAGTAAAATAGAGACCAGCCATAAACTTGTTTTGAGGTTTTGTATGGTTTTAAATTGGACATACAAATGTAAGCTCACATAAAACTGAAATAATATGTTCCTTGTCTCTTTCAGACAAACTATTCCATTTAAATTTATCAAAGAATTGTTGACGGATTATTTATTTTTAATAATGTTTAATTTCAGATATATTAAAGACCTAAACTGCAAGTATGAAGTCTAAAATGATTAACATCAAGGATTTTGATTTCCAAGATTTGCTTGACTCTGCATCCAACCTTTATGATGTTGAATTCAAGATAATAGATGAGAACTCCCAGGAGCTGGGAACTGTCAGGTCCCACAAGTTCTTGCTGTCCCTCCTGTCCCCTGTGCTGAAGAAGATGTTTAGCAGTCGGGAGGAGGGGTCCATTGTTGTTGAGATCACTGGTCCATCCTTTATAAGCTTCCAGACCCTCATCCAGTTCTTATACACTGGAGATGAATCAGTTATTACAGGTCAGTTGAACCATCCTTCATAACTTTCCAGACCCTCATCCAGTTCTTATACACTGGAGATGAATCAGTTATTACAGGTCAGTTAAACCATCCTTCATTAGTATCCAGACCCTCATCCAGTTCTTATACACTGGAGATGAGGCAGTTATTACAGGNATGCTAGAGGAATAGTTTTGCCAGAGCTGAAAACTTTAGAATGAGATATCCTTAATCCCAATTACTTAATCTGAGTATCCAATGGACACACTTTTGATTTTCTTTCTTCTTAAACCGTTCTTTCTTGGATAGAGTAGAGATTAGATAAAATAAAAAACAGGGTTTTTTTAAATTCAGAGAGTCCCTCCCGTTTCTGTATATAATCTTAAATGGCGCGCAAAATTTCAAATTTATCGGCTTCATATATGCGACTCTGATTGGTTGAATTTTAAACACTTCAGGATACAGGTACAAGTTTAAGTTAGCATTAATCTCAATATCCACCATTCTGAAGTTTTCAGCTCAGGGTATATTTTTTGTTGTCAAAATGACACTTTGGCATTGAGCTTGGAACTACTAGTTGAACCTGGTTCAAATTAATCGATTATGAATTTATGTTATCCTTTTGTTTAGGCTATTTGAAGGGCTGTCCCTCTTCTGATGAATACCTGAATGATATTCAAGAATCTGATGACACAGATTTCCATTCCTGGGTCAAAAAATGGATTCAGAAATGGAGGAGATCAGACACAGGTTAGTCTTATTTTACATAATTAATTTTTTTGTTTTTATTTTTATACTTTATATAAGTTTGTAATAAATAAAACTAGATATGTAAAAATATACAAAATTTTGTGCAAAATCTCTTCACAAAATTTATGCAATTAGTTTCGTTTTGTCCAAGGCTCTCCATAGAGCTATACAATGTTCAAATCTAAGTCATTTTTATTTCTTATACTTTTGCTTGTACTTGGTTGGGGAAAATTATGACTTTTGTAAAAAAAATATGATTTTTTTTTGGAGAAAAGTTTTATATACAACTGAAAGCTTACTTAACTTGCGATCACATCTGTTTCCTTTCTTATCTTCTTTTCCTTACATTTTCCTTCTAAACCTTTCCCATTTCTACCTTCCCCTTGTCTTCCCTACTCAACCCTTCCTATCTTCAATTCCCTACCTACCTTCCCCTTCCCTCTCTTCCTCATTATACCTTCCCCTTCCCTCTCTTTCATTATACCTTCCCCTTCCTTCTCCCTCATTATACCTTCCCCTTCCCTCTTCCTCATTATACATTCCCCTTCCCTCTCTTTCATTATACCTTCCCCTTCCTTCTCCCTCATTATACCTTCCCCTTCCCTCTCCCTCATTATACCTTCCCCTTCCCTCTCCTTCATAATACCTTCCCCTGTCTCTCCCTAATTCTAATTTATCTGTATTTGTTTACTAAATTTTCATCACTCTCATTAGTTGGAGTATCCAAGAATAGAGAATAAAGCAGAAAATCTAAAGTGTGCACAGTGGATACAGAGATTGCATGATTGGGATTAATTTTCTAAAGTTTACAGCTCAAATTCCAATTTATTAAACAACAACAAACCTGTTTTACGGGATAAAAAGATGGAAGACCACATTTTGTAAAGCTCATGAGGATTCCAAATATTATTTTTGATACCACCTTTGTCAGTTATCCTTTTCTTTGTCAGCTGTTTCCATTCCCTACCTTACCTTTTTCCCTTAAATTTCCTACTTTCCTTTTCCCTCTTTACACCTTCCCATGTCCCTCCCTAATTTTTTCATATATAAATATAAATAAAGCTTGAAAACTTTGAAAGATCTCTTAACTATCAACCTGACATTCTCAAAATGTGCTCATTACAGTATTTACCATCAAGCTCTCTTCTTAAGATGTGGAATAACCTGCCTCTTGACTTAAAAAGAAGCAACTCTCTAAGTATATTTAAAAATAGACTACTAAATTCTCTTTTTGAAAATTATAGGACAATGTGTTATAAACCGAATTGCTATTCATGTAAAACTAATTAGATATGTTTTAATATGCTTTGATATTTGTTGTGTACATGTCTGAAAATTACTTTAAACTCTAGTTATTCGAATTTATGTATANAAGATAAGAGGATTGAAGAATTGGAATTAAAGCAGGAAGAACTAATCCAGACCACACAACAGAAAGATAAGAGGATTGAAGAATTGGAATTAAAGCATGAAGAACTTATCCAGACCACACAACAGAAAACTAAGAGGATTGAAGAATTGGAATTAAAGCAGGAAGAACTTATCCAGACCACACAACAGAATGATAAGAGGATTGAAGAATTGGAATTAAAGCAGGAAGAACTAATCCAGACCACACAACAGAAAGATAAGAGGATTGAAGAATTGGAATTAAAGCATGAAGAACTTATCCAGACCACACAACAGAAAACTAAGAGGATTGAAGAATTGGAATTAAAGCAGGAAGAACTTATCCAGACCACACAACAGAATGATAAGAGGATTGAAGAATTGAAATTAAAGCAGGAAGAACTAATCCAGACCACACAACAGAAAGATAAGAGGATTGAAGAATTGGAATTAAAGCATGAGGAACTAATCCAGACCACAGAACAGAAAGATAAGAGGATTGAAGAATTGGAATTAAAGCATGAGGAACTAATCCAGACCACACAACAAAAAGATAAGAGGATTGAAGAATTGGAATTATATCAGAATGATCTACAACATGATCTACAGACAAAGGATAGAAAGATTCAGAATTTGGAATCCCAGCATGAAGAATTTATTAAGAACACAGAACAGAAATTGAGAATGATGAAGGAAATTAAAGGCAAAGCAGATTTTAAAGTTGTTTATCCAGTTTGTCTTGGCTGTAGTGGGAGTAATATTCCCTTAGAAAACATGTTTGAGCACATGAAAAGTTGTAAATTTATTGAGTTTGATGAGAGTCATCTGAAGCTGAATACAGAGGTGATGGTTAATGCTGATTATCATAATATAGCTTATAAGCTGGAAGAATCCAGAGACTGGTTTATAATCAAGATACGGAATGACAATAAAGTGTTCTACATCATGCACCACAGTGAAGAGGAAACAAAGAATGTGTTCTATTACAATATAAAATATTACAGTTGGAAAAATGTGGATGATAAAGACATAATCAAATCTGTAACAGTAAGATGTGCTCCTATGGGGATATTACCTAAGGATGCTGTACACAATAACTTCACAACAAACATACCAATCAAAGTTTTACTAGAAGAAGATGTGAAATTTACAATGTATAAAGCTTAATCATCTTTGTCCACCACCAACTAGGGCTGGGCACGTTCCGACTTTTTGAAATCGTTCCATTTCGTTTTAGAACGAGGGCCTTCAGCTATATTGTTCCGTTCTCGTTCCTTTTTTTTGTATCGTTCCGTTACGTTCTGTTCCGTCCCGTTTCGTTCCGTTCTGAGTAGAAGAACGATCTTCCCATTCCGTTCCATTCTTGGCGTTCTTATTTAAAGAACGGTTCCATCCCTCTCGTTCTGTTTTTTATCAAAGAACGTTTCCATCCCCCCGTTCTGTTCTTAGTATAGAACGATTACTAAAACCGGGTTACCTTAAAAAAGGGGGTGTACAATTTGTAGATTTTTGAAAAATATCTAATTTTCATAATCAATATTTCATATAAAAAAGAAATAGAAATAAATTATAGAAAACACTTTCTTTCAACCTAAATTCTCTCCCCCCCCCTTCTCCTTTTTCCCCTTTCTGCTCCCATTCCTCAAGAATGTAATACATTAAATCCTTGCCATTCCTTTTCTCCCCCCCCCT